TCCGATGTTGATACTTCCCTCGGGCCAACTAGGTTGCCAGGCGACGTCGTCGAATCTCAGCGGGACCCCTGGGCAAACATCTGGGAAGCTCGGGATTATGAGGACCTCGCCCTCTGCGGGAGTCTCTTTCAGGACGGGCTATCTGATGAGAAGATCCAGGAGTTGAGGCACCTCTGCGAGAATGGCCCTATGCCCCCGCCGCTCCAGATGCCCCAACTACGCGCTGCTGCGCATCAATATCCGCGACGCGCGGCCATAGGGGCCGATCGATTCGGGCCTCGCCATTGGGCTTATGTATACATAATGGGGCGTTGGCTGCTCTTGGGTCTCTGCTGCATCTCTGCGAAGTCTTTGGGAACTGGCCAGGCATCTGTCGGGGGGTGCATGCGGCGCTGCTCGCGAGGCCCCATGGGGGGCTTCAGGCCGATCGCTTTATTGGCCTCGGTCTACAGGTTATGGTCTCAGGCGCGTTTGTCTTGGGTACGGACATGGGCCTCGCAACTGAACAGGCCTCACATCGCCCTTGGGACGCAGATATCTACCACGGATGTAGCAGCCAGAGTTCTAGCCCAGAGCGGGGCTGGACCACCGCCCACGGGCGTTGAGCATGCCTCTTTGCGCGCCATCGTCGACATCGCCAAATGTTTCGATGAGGTGCCGTGGGACGGTGCGTTGACTTCCGCTTCCTATCAGGGATCCCCAGGCCAGTTAATGGCGCTGGCTTTCCGCATGCACTCCAGCTCCAGGAGGCGCGTCTGGGACGGAGCGTTCTCGGCGACCACGTATGCGCGCAGAGGGATACTCCCAGGATGTGCCTTCGCCACGTTCATTCTCCAATGTATTATGTCGGGGCCTTTCGACTCCCTTTTCGCGCGCACGGATGCGATAGGGCGTGCTCTCGACCTATACGCCGACGACATTGCGGTCTCTGTGTATGGCTCTGTTTCCAAGGTTTACCAGGGCTCCGTGGAGCTCCTGCGAATGCTTTGTTGCGGCCCTTAATGGACTTGGTCCCCCTGCGGCGCCTGAGAAGATGGAAGTGACGTCTAGCGTTCCTCGGTTGGGCCGGGCTGTATGCAACAAGCTTCGGGCCATGGGCCACCGTTGTTCGACGGCGCTGGAGGCTCTTGGGATCGAGATTGGGTCGGGACGTCCAATCAAATATTCCAGGCTAAGGTCGAGGGTACGCAGCACTTTCCGACGCGTGCCTAGGTTCCTCTCTGTTCGCCGCGCTGGTGCTGTTTCCACGCGGTTTGTGCGCCGGGCCGTCTCGCCCGCGGCGACGCGCGGCATAAGCGCGCACGGTGCGCCATCACAGCTCGTTAACAAGATGCGCACGCTACTTCGTCATTCCTGGCATGCGCCAGGTGGGTCGACGTCTGCGTGGGCCACGTCCTGTTTGCAAAGTCCCCTATATTCGGATCCCCAGATTGCAGCGTGGTCTTCTCCCATACATCAGTGGGCGCTTCTTCGCAGGGATAGGGCGGTACCTGGCGATGTCTTGCAGCGAGCGTGGCGGAAGCAGATGCAGATTGTTCATCGTGCCGAGCGCCCCTGGACGAAAGTCGCTGGCCATGCTGGGGCCACCCTTCTGCCTTCTGGCCCTGCGGGGCCTGAAATGGCGATCCACCGCCGGCCACGTTTTCGTGACTGACCAAGGTGAGACGCTCAACCTCTACCAGGGAGCTCCCTCCACGATCCTCCATCTGGCTTGGGAGTCCTCTATGCGTCGTCTTTGGGAGCTCTGGCCAGCTCGCTCGCAAGGCCCCAGCGAGCCCGCGCCCCCGAAGGCTCCTGAGGGATATTGGATCGAGCCCATCATCAAGTTACTGGCCCACGAGGAGCCCCATGTCGAGGAGGACGATGGGGAGATATCAATGGACGATGGGGGACTTGATACGGAACGTCTTGGGAGTCGGCCCACGTATGATACTCCTAGCGGGGACCCATTGGGTACTGCGTCCACTTGGAAGCCCACAGCGAAAGAGTAAGGTCTGGCAAGAGCTGTAGTGCCAGGGGGACTCCTGCACGACTTAAGATGCATGGGCATTGCGATACCGACGAGTGCCCGCTCTGCCACGGTGGACCTTGCGATACACATCACCTCGTGCCCGAGTGCGCGGCCTTTCAGCAAAAGAGAGAGGGGCGCTTTGCATTGATCGATCTTCGTGGATTCCCGTGTTGTGCTAGAGGCGACTGGTTATGGGCTCGCGGTCTTCTTCCTAGGACCTACTCCCCTGCTCTTCCCCCTCGTGACCGGGGCACCTTGCGCGGGCACCCTTTCGGCCTCGCGGGCCGCGTCTTCACGGACGGGGCCCGCCGCGAGTTAGGGGGCTGGCCGGGAAGTTCGCGAGCGGGGCGGGGTTCATTCAGCTCGGACGTGGTGGGGTTGTTGAGACGGCTGTCTATGGAGCTCTACCTGGACCTCTCCAGATTTCACCCAGAGCTGAAATGCCTGTCATCCTCCAGGCCCTCTCGGCCTACCTCCCCCCTGCAACCATAGTCACTGATTATAAAAGGGGTGATCGATGGCCTTGATGAGGGCCGAGCGCGGTGCGCAGCGCCCTGCAGGACGAATGTTGACCTTTGGGCGAGCCTCTGGGGCAAGATGGACGACCCCGGGGGCTCGCAGGCTGTTTCTTTCGAGCACTGCCGCGGTCATCAGCGCGGCCGCGGCGAGCTCGCCAGAGGCAACCGATGGGCTGACGCCGCTGCGACCAAGGGGAGGGGCCTCCACGCGGCTGGCAAAGAGGCGAGGACCGCTATGCCCATCGCGCATAAGAGTCTCAGCTGGCAGGGCCCCCACGCATGACACAGTCGCCCGCCGCCCCCGAAGGAAGCCACAGGATCCCCCTCCCCCTGGTGTTGCTGAACATATGCGGCATGTCATGTGCCAGGTCCCTAGTCGTGCCATCCATAGATGTATGTACTGTAAGATTGGGGCTAAGACCACCCGTCGGATTGATAAGCTCCACTCGCTCTGCTGCGCTGCTCGCCTTCGGGCGCTGGAGGCTACGTCTGTACCCGTGCCTGCGCAGCTTCCGAAGGGGGGCGTGGGTGGCGTTGGCCTCTTGACTGAGGCGCCGCGGGTTGACCCTGTGCCTCTCGTCCCTGGGGCCTGTTGGAGCCGAGGGGCCTGGCCCCCCAGCCCCGACAGGGAGTCCTGGCAGCGAAGGGCTTGGGCAAGACCGCGGGGGGGGGACCTGGAGGCTGCTCATGCTGGGAGGGGCGATGGTAGCCGCCCTGCTCCTCCCTCCCCTGTGTTTGTCGACGTGTCGGACCTGTCTCGGTCGGCGTGTCGGCCCCGTCGTTCGTCGAGTCGGTCGCCCTCGTTCTCCGACGAGGGTGGTCGTCGCGTTCGGCCACGTGTCTCCTTTGATCCTATAAGGCTTGCTCAGTCAGTCGCCAGACCAGTGCAGCCTTTCGGGGGGCGTCCGTGACATCAGCTCCGTGGGAGACCATCCAGATAAGAGGCGCCGTGTTGGAGGCAAAGGGCTTAATTCCAGGCCCTCCCTTGTCTCTACCACGATCCCCCGCTGTGCCGTGCCCAGTCAGGGTCCCATTCCTGCAGACGCTGCCAGGGGCCAACGGCTCTGGGTGGCGCCCTCCCAGGTCGCGTTGTGCATCTTTTGCGGGTTTTTCACGACGGGCGCGGCGGGGCATGCATTAACTGATTGTATTCCCTGCCAGCCTGGCTACTCGGCCTCAGAGAGGGCCAAGCGAAATAGGAAACAGTTGCTCGCTGACTTTCACCCAGCTGATGAAGGGCGCGCGGATTCCAGACGGATCCCAGCGCCGCGGCCCCTCCTGCCCACGGATCCTGAGGTCCATTGGGTCAGGCTCCGTCTTCCAGCGGTAGTTTCGGGTCGCGCATCCGTTTCTGAGGAGTGAGGGGCTGGGCCACGAGAGTGGAGCATCCTCCTGGTGTGATCCCCGTGGACCTACTCATTCGTGCCCCCTCCTCCTCCTTTTTCTTTGGGCCTGCGTCAGCCCCGTGAACCTACGGTGGGGGATGGCGGCCTAACTGGCCCTTGGTGTTTCGCCTGCGCCTCATCCTTCTTCTGTGCACGCCTAGCGCTTGGTGACTTTCGCGGCGTCGCCAATGCAGTGCCGTACCCTCCTCCTCCTCCTCCTCCTCATCCTCGGCTTCTTCGTATTAGTGTTATGGTTATTGCTGTTGCTCTGAACCGTATTATTACTATCCTGAGTAGTGAACGTTTTCTTCTTGATCAATCGTAGTAGTGTTCATCTTAATACGCCCATGATTTACTCGTACTATGTGTTCGTGTGGTGATTCGTACTCAGATTGGTCGTATTAGCAACATGATGATTCGTCGCAGTATTAGTACTGTTTGTAATAGTATTGATAGTTGTCGTAGTCAGTCGGTTCCGTGTTTTTCTTCGTCATAATATGAGTAGTAGTGTTAACATTAAGATTAGTTTGTTGCGAATTAGTTAGATTCGTCCTCCTCCTCTTATGATGAGTAACATTAATGTTGCTCATGTTATTGTTAAAGTTATGAACAGTGTTAGCCTTCTTCTTAGTGTTATACGTAAGAAGAAGATTAGTATTCCTCCTCCTCCTCCTCCACCTCCTCCGCCTCCGCCTCCTCCTCCTCCTCTACCTCCTCGCCGTGCCCATCGTAAGTTTCGCCGTTATCGCCTCTGCGCGGGCCGCGTAGTTCTCACTTCGCCAAGGTCGTCGACAGCGGGGCCGCGCGCGAGCGCCTTTCGTTCGCTAGGTGGGAACGCGCTCCAATCCCAATAACAGGTTGTGTCGCAACTGATCATCATGTTATGGGAGGGAGACTGGAAATAGGCGGGGCCCTCTGACTTGCTCGGCCTGGCTAACCTCGACCTCCTCCTCCTCCTCCTCCTCCCCCTCCTCCTCCTCCTCCTCCTCCTCCTCCTCGTGTCCCCTCCTATGTCCCCTCCTCCTCCCCATCCCTTCCCCCTGTCCCTGTGGTCTTGCCCCCTCCCCCCTGCGGCGTGGTGCGCTCCGTCAGGAACAGCGGGGAACCGGCCATCAGGGCCCCGCGCTTACTCATCCTCGGGGGGGGTGCGACGGGAGGAAAGGAACAGGAATAGGAACAGGCTCTTCCAAGTAGAGGTCCAGAAAACTACTGCAGTTGACCCCGAGGCGCCTGCTCAGCTGTGCTGCGCTGCTTCGGCCAGAGACCCTGCTCGAGTCGCGACAAGTAAGCCGCTGCATGGGGAGCCAATTGCTGAGAGCATGGCTTCGACAGCTCACGCATGGCAGCACGAGCACAGAAACCACAACGCTGACAAAACAAAACACTTTGGGCCCTCTGGTGCCTCATTGAATGTGTCCCATGTGCCCCCACACACCCCGCGATATGGAGCTGCCAGGGTGGAGGGAGGGAGGGAGACGCAGATACCCTTCACTAGCGGCGTCGAAAGCCCCAGCCCCATATATCAGCACCGAGCAGAGGCCGGAGTCCGCCTGGATAATCGGAGAAGGGAGACGGCGGGTGAAAGTAGGGGGGGGGGCGACTGCTCCAGCTTTGCGAGCGGCTCACGAAGGGAGGGAGGGAGGAAGGCAGGATAGCGACGACGAAGGCGACGACGAAGAGAAGCAGCACCTTTGGTATTTGCAGCTGCCGCTTCCAAAGGGGGGAGGGGGGGGAGCGGGAGACGGAGGAGGGTCGACGACGACGAGGGGGAGAGGGAAGCAGCGAAGCACGAGGGCGAAAGGGAAGGAGACGATGGACAAGCAGCCAAAAATAAGAAGGAGGACGCGTAGGAAAGGGAGGATGGAGAGGAGGAAGTGGCGGACAACGACAACGGGAGGAAGAGGAGCAGAAGCAGCTGCAACTGCCGGCGAGACGAGTAGGATGGGGAAGGGGCAGGCGGAGAAGGGTAGTCGTGAGAGAAGGAAGAAGCGAAGTAGGAAGAAGGCGAGAAGGATAATGATAATCAAGAAAGGAAGGTCACGTGATATGTATATTAGAGAGGTGGATATGTGGCCGCGCAACTTGACGGGAGCCGTTACATCAACTGCTGATGTGGGGATGCTTGCAACAATGCTTAGACGTAAAACTTGCCAGCGTCGGTCCCAAGTAGTGAGTGCAAGCAATCTGCATGTGTGACCCGCACAAGCTATGTGATACGCGGTGCAACTACGTGGCGCCTTCTGTAGCATGCAAGTCATGAGAATCGCATCCGCGCATCTTAGAAAACCTATGGCTGTGCGATGAGTTCGACGTGCGCGCTCGGAGACTCGCGCATGCGGCCGCATGGCATTGGCTGACAGAGATGGCGGGCGCGCGATGCGTGTTGAACGTTTGCGACATGCGCGTGCGTATGGCACGTATTGCTTCATTTGACACAGTGGCCAAGAACGCATGATTGTTTTATGTCAGCGCGTGCGCGCGAACAGAATTTGCAATTCTCTCTTGAAAATCATATGGTGCTGAGAGGCGGTGAACAGCGATGTCTAGAGTATGTTCAAGCCCAACTGGTTTGAGTGATTCTGACATGCATGCGCGGTAGCGCGCGCATGTGCCCAGCATACTACGTGCTGCAATAGGTTATCAGAGAACACACGTCTTAGATCACGCATGCGCACCTGGAAGAAGGCGAAGCCATGCCAGGACTGGCTAGCATGCCATTGCTTGAAATTGTGGATGAAAGGTCGTGCAGGTAAATAAGACAAGTGCGCGGAGGAGTGCCGCTAACCCTGGCCTCGGTGCAAAGAGCAGATGTAGCACAGCGTTACAATATACTAGATGGATTCCCTTTGAATATTCGCCTATTCACGTTACCTGCGCCGTACACTGTTGCACCACATCTGATGTGGTGCAAACAAAAATGCGGCACAAGTAAGTGTGAAAAATTGAAGCCCTGCAAAACCCATGATCGAGCAAGCATCCCACCCAATCGGCAACTGGCTGGCAAATCTCAACTGTCGCAACGAGGCGAGAACCCGTGTCATGGAGCTCCCTGACTCGGGCGGGCGAGTGATCCTGGTAACGACGACATCGGCGACGGTGACGATGGTGATGGCGGTGATGGTGGAATCAACGATGGCGATGGCGACGACAACGACGATGACAATGATCATAGCAATGACGAGTATGATGGTGGTGATGATGGTAATGATGATGATACCGATGATGATGACAACTGTGGCGGTGATGACGACTACGGTGGTGCTGCTGATGGTGATGATGATAGTGATTGTGATTGTGCTTGTGATGGTGATGGTGATGGTGAGGGTGATGGAAGAATGGATGATGATGATGATGATGATGATGATGATGATGACGATGACGGTGGTGGTGGTGGGGGTGGTGATGATAGGAGGTGAGGGGGTGAGATCGAAGTGGAACGGAGAGCCCCCCTACCGGGAAATCGGTTTCGGTTTCGTGTTCGTGCGTGCCGTGCGTGCGGGCGAGGCGAAGCTGCGTGGGCGGGCGAGAAATAGGTCTCCTGTAGCTGAGGCGCGGCCGGACCAACAGATTCCCTTCCGGCAACCGG